CCCGCCCCCCAGCAGCAACCCCCCACCCTGATTGTGGGCAGGGCTGGCCGGCCAACTGCCCACAGCCCCTCCCCACAGCTGGCCTGGCCCCTGATCGGCCCCCCTACCCCGATCGGGGGAGCGGCTGGACCCCACCTGTGCATGAATTCATGCACTGGGCCTCTAATTAGGAAATAAAATCTTACAAAGGGAAAAAGAGTAGATTATTTTGGTTTTGGGCATAAACATTTAGTGTGTTTTTCATTTTTGTAGTGCTTTCCATTTTTTGTTTATTTGTTTAGCACTTTGAATTTTTCCTGATGAAGCAAGGATGACAAGTCTGTCTTTGTTGTTTCCCTCCCCTCTCCTACCAAACAGCTCTGCTTCCTGATAGTCCCCCTGACTCCAGGGCCTCCACAAAGTCCCTCAATGAGACATTGATGAGAGAGAAACATCAATCAGCTACCTCCTACACACCCCCTTCTGGGGATTGAGCCCGCAACCTGGGCATGTGCCCTGATTGGGAATGGACTGGTGATTTCTTGGTTCATAGGTTGACACTCAACCACTGAGCCACCCTGGCTGGACTGTGTTAACATTCTTGTAGTTATTCCTTTGCTAGCACCTTTACTTATTCCCTTATAAATTCCTAGAACAAGAGTTGACAGGTTAAAGAATTTTTTTGAGTTTTTAACACACACTGCCTAATTATGACAGTGATTTTTTTAAATTAAGATAATGTAACTCAGGCTATGCATACCAGCCATTGTATTATCCTTCTCAGGAATATCAGCAAACATGCATTGAGGGATTAACTCAGATTCAGCACACTGGGCTCCATACACCGCTGGTCTAGGTAACCTCCACTCATGACAAAGTTTTGATTTTTCTTAAAGGTTGTGACCGCTATTGAGTCCCTGATTTTGCTGTTTCTCATTCCAGGCATTTAAAGCAAGAATCAGCAACATCCCTACAATTAAGAAGTTCCTGCAGCCTGGGAGTCAGAGGAAGCCACCTGCGGATAGCCGCTACGTTGCCGTGGTCAGGCACGTTCTGCAGTTCTAATGGCGGCAGGCCTCGCTATGGTGCACGGCCGCCATCAGCCACAGCCTCGCACGTGCCGGAGCTCACTGTAGATTCTAGGTGTAAAATGTCTGGAAAGAGCAAAGCAGTACTGCCATCAACAGCCAATGCCAATTAAATGAAACATGAGACCATTTGGTTATATGAGCATTTTTAAACTTGTTCATTGTGGATGATGCTTAGAACTTTTTTGAGATCAATGTATATATGAGTAGGAGGCTGATATATTTAGGGTGGCGGCCTACATGGGGCCCTGTCCTTGTTGTCAGTATCCAGGTCAGAACCATTGGGGAAAGGGTGAGCAGAGCTTTGAGTGCGGGGGAGGGGGGGGGCAGGGGGGAGGGGACCATATTTTTCCAACACCCATCCGATGCTGAGTACTCGGGATAGAAAAAAGTGGCAAGTGACAAATTGTCAGGAAGAGCTTGGATGATGCAGTAAATCCTAAGGGGATGTGTGGAGGACAGAGAATGTCCTGGGAACACCGTTTTGAGATCCTGATAAAAACAAACAAACAAACTTGGACAATTAGACAACCCTATTCCACCTAACATAGCTGCCAAGACTGGGTTTGTTTTGGTGAAATAATGCCAAGTAACACTGAGATTCTGATATAACCAATGAATATGCACATTGGCCCAAAGATTCCCTTGGCTTGACATACTTTATTTAAGGATAACTATTGTGTTCCGAAGTTTGTAAGCTCAGCCGCACATGGGGGCTCTGGTGGGGGGTGGAAGGCTGATTGGCGATGAGGTGACTATTCAGGGTGTTGTTACAGGCACAGCTGTGGTTTCCGGTGGGTGGAGCAGGTAGGGAGTAAGGCTCCTGCCAAGGGCTTGGGGTGCACAATCCCACCAGCTCTACACGGGACGTTCTGCCCAGGCTTGATCAGTTTCTGAATGTGTATCCACATACACATCCTTACTTATGAAATGACATAATGTCTCACCAGCCTTCAGGCCATTTCCTCAGGGCCGCCACAGCACATGGCCTCCTACACCGCCTACTGCTACATTCAGTCCTCCTCCCCTTTTCAGACAATGGGCTGCTCAACAGAGTTATGACAAGCTGGGCCCTTCAGCATCCCAACCCCAGCCCACGGGTGACCTGAGCTCCTGCTCCCAGCGTGGCCAGATCCCAGCCTGGGATTCCATTTAGCTAAGGACCCCATCTCATTCCCGCCCGGACAAAGCCATGGCCAACTCACACCTGATGAATAAGACAGAGGGGTTGGCAAGGCTCCTCATCGGTGTGGGGATGACCTTTTCCTCTGACTTCCCCCAGAACAGAGAGTCTGAGCTTAGAGAAATTAAGTGGAAAAAGAAATTATTATTATATTTTATTTATTTTTTTAAATATATTTTTAAAATTGATTTTAGAGAGGAAGGGAGAGGGAGCAAAAGATAGAAACATCAATGATGAGAATCATTGATCAGCTCCTCTTGCATGCCCCCTACTGGGGATCAAGCTCACAACTCAGGCATGTGCCCTACATGGAATTGAAATATGACTTCCTGGTTCATAGTATGATGCTCAACCACTGAACCACACTAGCCTGGCTACATTATTTTTAATGACTCAAAATTTTAAGGCAATTTCTTTTTATTATAATCATGTGGTCTTGTAAATAATTCAAACACTTTAGAAGGCTTATATAGTGAACAATAAAATCATCCCCCTGACTCCCCAGATGGTTGCTAAAAACAACCACTTCCTAGGTTCTCACTCCTTGCCTGGGGGCCTACACAAGCCCTAGGCCTGGCCCCAAGCTGGCATGCTCTTCCCAAGCACACCCAAGGCACGTGACTCAGGCACAGCTGGCCACGTTCATTGTCCCACAATCCTATAAGTATGACTTGGTGTCTTATAAGTCTTTACCCATTTGTTGTTCTCTATAGGGTTCTCTTTGGGCTGACTGTGTAACTATGGGTACCCAGGAAGTGGGCTCAGAGACCCAACAGCACCCAGCAACATTCAAGGTCCCACTTCCACTCCCTCGACACCAGGGAGCCTTGAATGTGGACAGAAAAAGAAGGGTGAGTAAAGTCAGTGAGCTGAACATATCCACAGAGATGGAGGGTGGGGCCCTGGAGGCCCTGGGTCCTCTCTGCCATGAGACCCTGGGAAGCAGAGCCTGACCAGCCTGCCCTCCCACGTCGGGAGTTGAGCACTCCAGCAAGTGAGCATTTCTTTTCTTGGTGACTGACTCTCCCGTTTCAGTTAAAGCGCGCGCGCGTGTGTGTGTGTGTGTGTGTGTGTGTGTGTGTGTGTGTGTGTGTGTATACAAAGAATTAAAACCTGGGCAGTGGCCTCAAATGACCCCTCCTAACTTGATGGGGGTCATGAATCCTCCCTTTAGACTCCAAACGCGTGATTGCATGAGTTTTTGGGCACAGGCTAAAGGGAGAAAGGTGAAGACAGGGTCAGAGATGTTTGTTCCCACTGATCACCAGCCCTGAGTGAAGTTAGGAGCGAGGGATTTGGTTTTGGCCTTTGAATTGGGGGTGGGGGTGGTGATTGGTGATAATAGTTGTTGCTTTTAAGCTAGGAAGGGGTTTATTACACATATGTTTGAAAGAATGAGGGTGAGTTCAGGGACTCTCAGACCCTCAGGGTTGCTGTGTCTCCTCCTGTGTCGGCTCAGGTTCTCTCACAGCAGTAACTGGCTTGCCCTGCTGGTGGCTCTGGGGCTGGCCCTGAGGGGTTGCTGAAGCCACAGAGGAACCATGTGGAGGAGGCGGGAGTGGTTCCTCAAAGCAGTGGGGCCGGTATTCACTGTGCAGTTTACAGATAGGGAGAGTGAGGCTCAGCCAGCCCCTGACCCCTGCATCTGTCGTGCTGCCAACAGGAGTTGCAGGGATGCAACAATCCCTGGGTGTAGGGATGGGGGGAAACTAGGCCCAGGAGGAGGCGGCAAATGTGTCTAAGATCACAAGCTAATGAGTGGCTGAACCCGAGCCCAATCTAGATGTTGGGACCCACAGTCTTTTAAATATATTTGGCAGGAGCCTGATGTTCTGTTTGGCAGATTAAAGATATCTAATCCTATTTGCTTAAGACAGCGGTTCTCAACCTGTGGGTCGCCAACCTGAGGGTTGCAACCCTTTTGGGGGTCGAACGACCCTTTCACAGGGGTCGCCTAAGACCATCGGAAAACACATATATAATTACATATTGTTTTTGTGATTAATCACTATGCTTTAATTATGTTCAATTTGTAACAATGAAAATACATCCTGCATATCAGATATTTACATTACGATTCATAACAGTAGCAAAATTACAGTTATGAAGTAGCAACAAAAATAACTTTATGGTTGGGTGTCACCACAACATGAGGAACTGTATTAAAGGCATTAGGAAGGTTGAGAACCACTGGGCTAGGGCATGGTTCTTTTTATTTAAGTAATTTTTTTTTTGTTAGTCCTCACCCGAGGACATTTTTTTGCTGTTTTTAATCCTCACTGGAGGATACTTTCCCATTGGTGTTTGGAGAGAGTGGAAGGGAGAGGGAGAGACAGAGAGAAACATTGATGTGAGAGACTTGACCCTTTAATAATCTAGTTAATTCGATTGTTTTTCCTTTTAGGACTTTGTGGTCAAATTTAAAACGATAGTTGAGTTGCATTTGTTATTCCCAGAAGGCAACATAGAGAATAGCTTTATGCTGGGGCATCACCCTCTCATGGGGTTAGTGATAAAAAGTCTTGTCAAGTGTCAAACAAGAAGACTGGAAGAGATGCTGCAGTTAATTGAATCCCATGACATGCCCAGAGGCACATCTCCCCAGGGGGAGAGATCGTCCTGGTCCCTCTCACTGTGGCCCCAGACCAGCCTCATGCACGGCACTTGCGAGTGTGTTGGAAATGCAAGGCCACAGGCCCTGCCCCAGAACTACTGAGTCAGAATCTGCGTTTTCACAAGATCCCCTGTGACCTGTGCGCCTGTTGAAGTTTTCAGCATGGCTTTGTATTATTATTCAGCTTTCCAAACAAACTCAGTCGTGGCTCTCCGCATAGAAAGCCATCCTCCCCACGTGTGAAAATATTCTAGTTCCTTCCATCTCCTACTTGCTGTCTGTACAATGGACACTAGCAAACATTTACTTTAAGGGCAACTTCAAGGCCCTGCCTCCAACTCAAACCAATCAGACACGAAAGTCACTCAAGAATAGGGTTGCTAGATTTAGCAAAACAACAACAGCAAAACAACAACAACAACAACAACAACAACAACACACACCAAGAAGTTTGTGTGAGTGACAACGGGCAGTGGATAGGGCTCAGGGCCTTTACCAGATGGGCCAGCTCCAGCCCACATGTCTGAACATGCCCAATGGCTCTAGTTGCTCAAACCAATCAGACACAAAAGGCACTCAAGAATAGGGTTGCTAGATTTAGCAAAATAACAACAGCAAAAAAACAACAAAAAAAAAACCCATCGTTAAATTTGCATTTCAGATAAGCAATGAATAGTTTTTAGTACAAGTAGGTCCCAAATGTTGCATGCATGTATCCTGAATTTTATCTGGCCATGCTACTCAGGAGCCAAAGTCCCGGGCTGCCCTTTCCACACCCCCCAATCTCTTCCTGCTTTATGTCTAAGACCCTTACTTATTTGCTTCCAGTGTGGTGGCTTGGGCTCATGCTTCCTTCAAGCCCCATATCACGCTTTGCTTTCTCTCTTGTGCTGTGAGTGAGAGGCAGGTTGTGAAAACAGCAGAGACTTTGGCCTGGGGTCTGGCCGGCGGGGTGAGTGGGCAAGTTTTGTCTTTCTGAGTTTCTGTCTCCTTATCTGTAAAACAAGGGAACTGCTATTCTCAAAGCCATATAGATAGTGCCTGGCACAGAGCACATCTGGCTGCCCTTGTTATCTCTTGGTAACTGGATCCTCAGGCAGCTCAGGCAGGCCTGGCCTGGTTGTCCTTGGGTTCATATCCTTGCCCAGTATCAACTCCAGAGATCTGGAGCCGAATAGCACTAATGACACGAACCAGTACTGTCCTGCCATAGCATCTGTTACTGTTTGACCATGAACTCACCTCCGATTTAGACAGTTCCTGAGTTGCAAATTTAAAATGAGGGCCTTTATTCAAGTTGCTTCAAAGCAGAGTGCAGTAATGGTATATATGGTGGTTACTTTTGCAACTATAGCA